ACAATGGCGAGAATGTCGGCCAGGATCTTCAGATAGGCGATGGAGTGAAAATTACTGACGGAGATCAAGGGCGGCTTTTGGAACGATTGTTGACATTAAAGACAATGAGGCTGTTGTGTTTTTGACAATGCATGATGTGACAATTACCATACCCTTTTCGTCGCTTCGAAAACATCTTAAAGTAGGGGACGAAGTGTGCATTCTTTCGGGAGACCACCAAGGTGTTACGGGCTGGGTAGTAAATCAAGACGATGACTATGTGTGTGTCTTCAATGACAGGACCGGAACAGAGGTAAATGTTTCGTTTTTACAATACATACTCTGACAATCCATCATCTTTTAGGTAGAGGTATCCCCTGGGAATGTCGAGTTCTTCAGCTCCCCCTTTGTCTTTGCAACGGAATCCCCGGAGTCCTTGACAGCTGCACAAAAGCGAGTCATGAAGGGGGACTCGAACAGTCATCTTGTAGGAAAACACGTAATGGTAACCCAAGGCAATTTTAGAACTTACCGAGGCAGAATAAAAAGCACAGTTGGTGAGAAAAGGCTTTTGGTCGAACTCGAGGCGCTCCTCCAACGCCCACAAATTTTGGACATCTCTGCGCTACACATCATGCAAGCCCTTTTGCTTTTTTTTCTTTCTGAAATCGATGCTAATTAGCTTCCAGTGCTGACGAAAGGCTTCAGCCCCCAAGGCCTCGAGAGCTTCTGACCGATTTCTCTTACCCACTTGAACCAGCGCCTCCGCCCGGTACTTTGGCAAGCTTTTTGTTCCCTGGTCTGCCCTTGCCGGATCCGCAACCCTCAGCCGCATATCCTGCTGCCCTCGTGCAGACTCCGACCATTGCGGGGCCGTCTACTCCGCTTCCTAACTCACAAGATATCCCGACGAGCCCAGCTTGGAACCCAAGCTCAGATACCCCTCTCCGTGGCAATTATGGCAATTATATTTTTGATTCAGAGTCAATATATATACTGACGCAATTATGGCAGCCCCTCCATATTGGCTTAGAGATAACCGCTTTGCCACCATGAGACTGCAACTCCTGCTCTAATTTCCATGATGGCAAGTATGAAAATATGTGCGGGGAGTTCAAGGGAGTGGTCAGAGATGTGGTTAAGGTCCAACTCGGTTTCACAGTGGTGGAAGTGCCGTTTCCGTACTTGATACCTGAAAGGCCGGAGTGCAAAGCCCAAGTCGTTACCACGTTTGACGGCCCGCATAAGGGGTCACAGTTTAGGATCAAGGTTTTTGGTGAAGATATATGCGGCTGCTCTCATTTGAAATCAACAAAGCTTTTGAGAAAGGTTGATGTCCAAATCACCACCAATGAACTTGTAGTTACCCGGGGATAAGATACCTTAGATATGTTTAGAGACTCTTTATGTATGTTTTACGCATATATTGATGGCAATGTATATTCTTGACCTTATTGCGAGACAATCACTATTTATAACTGGCTTAGTCAGCTCAAGCCGGCTTCTTAGCCGGAGCCGAAATTAGCCGAGCCGTCGGAGTCATCACTCAACAGTTCTGGCTGGGCTTCGGCTAAACTCGGCTCGGCTCCTGGCTTCAGCTGGCTCTGAGCCGGAGCCGCGGCAACACTATTGAGTTGTGCTTGTTGAAGGGAAACCAATTTATGCTGTGAGTTTTCAATTCTCGGAGTTTTCTGATTATGACGTACTTCCCTAGCGGGCATCTGGCACAGCTTTGGCATGCCCGTATCTGAGCGCACGTGATCAATTCTCTTCTACCTTGCTCACTTTAATTGCACACTCGATGGATATAAGATTGTAACACAAAACAGAAAGGACAAGACACAAAATTTCTATTAAAGAAGCACTTGAAGGCATATTTATCACTGGCAGTGGAGGCAGTTGAATGCCAAAAAATAAATTAAGCCATTTCTTCCAACATCAGGAATGGTGGGTCATCAAAAAAATGGAAGCGAGGTAAACAGCTAGTAGATAGTGGGTAGATGGACAAGAACAAAGTATCCCAGCTTACACATCGTTACCAGTTGCAAGAACTGCTACCCACAACAAGTTTAAGCTGACTGAGGCATCATTGGGAAATGCCTTTGCAGTATATTTTCCAACCGTGTATCCCACGAGAGCCACTGAGCTTGCTGGGATGACACCTTCGAAAACTGGATAATCTTTTTCAAGAGTCGTAAGACCTCCAGGCAACAGGATTTTTTTTCCCTGTGCATCAACAATAGGAACTTGAAAGAAAAAAAAAAGGTTTTGTTAGTTGCTGCGAAATGTAGAGTAAAACCACTCACCAATGTCATTTGAGCTCAAAGAACTGACAGCATATGAGTAACCCGATGTTTTGTCACTAGTTGTTGCCTTGCTTTGGAAAGCGGTATACAAGTTCTTTCTTGGAGTCGATGACTTCCTCGGAGAACCAGATATCTTCTCTACAACTCAAGTGAGAAAACAAATTGAAATAAAATTAAGAACTTACCAGATCAAGTGGAGAATGTCAACAAATTGTCGAGAAGCTGGCAGCGAGCTGACTCCACCCCATGAGTCATACAAAGAACTGCTGCAAATCGTTCAAACTCCTGGGTAAGGGGAGTTGCCGTTATAAACTTGATGATGCTATCATCGCCTATCGTCTTTGTGGTTGCCGTATGGTCATCCTCAATCACAACCACAGAAACACATAATACAGGCTTTTTCTTGTTACATATGCACACCATGTCGGATTTGCCAACTTGCTTGCTGATAATGAGTGCTGGATCAACACGAGACAAGTTGACAACATTGTGCTTCTCATCATAGCTGAAAGTGATCAACTGCTTCATATATCTAGATTGTATACTTAGCCAACTAGTTCACAGAGAATCATTGAAAAAGAGCATACCCAAGGTCAAGCTTTGGATATTCCTTCATGATCAGAGTGAGCTGGGCCATTCCTAGAGTTTCGGTGTCATTATCTTTGTTGTCAGCTTTCTTCTTCCAGCTGATCAACTTCTTGCCCCTAAAAAGGTTTAGTGAAAGAGAGAGACATAACATTAAAGATAAAGCCTACCCAGGAAGCTTTGCTAAAGGGGCACCATATGTGGCCTTCAGAAGTTTATCCATGATTGCTACATCATTGACACCACATAGCTTCAACTTGGGGTATCTTATTATTGTTCAAATGTTAGCTCAAAACTTGAAGATTGATCAAATTGAAAAAAAGACATATGTAGCAACTGGATCTTTGGTAAGATCTTCAAGATATACTGTGTCCTTTCTGTCAAAAGCACTTTTATGATGATACTTCAGTAATAAATGTCAAGCAACTTACTTCTCTTTATCCACAATGCCATTCTTCTTCTTCATCTTTTCTGCTTTGACCTTTGAACTAAAAGTCTTCATTCAGAAAAGCAAAATGATAAAAACATAGCTGCTTACACAGCTGCATCAAAGATTTTCTGATGAGCCTTTGTCCTGAAACATAGAGTAAATGGCAGTCAACAATTTCTAAGTGCCATTTCACATACTTCTTTGACAGGGGTGATGGAGAAACATCTCCATCTTTAGAGTCAGAACTGACTTCTTCCTCAAGAGGATTTGGAGAAGGCCTAGAATAAAAATGATTGTCACAACCTCTTCAGCTGAGTAAAGATTAAATGCACTGCTTTACTTTCTTGCCCTTGGACTGCTTACTGGACTTTGAAGAAGACTTTGGTGTCTTGAGAGCTGCAGGAGTGGGTGGCAACTTCTTCTTGGGCAAGGAAGCAATATGAGCCTTCTTGGTTGGAGAATCTTGGGTATCAGAAGGGACAAAGGGATTATCAGAGTCTGAATCAGCGTTGGTAGCCCATGAACGCTTGACACCATGCCTGAGATGCTGACTTATTGATAAAAGTAATGGAATTTATGTTACGTCAACTCACCCTGAAGTCTTCTTTGGCGATGGAGTAGCAGGTGCCACAGCAGTAGTCTTGTGCTTGCGAGAAGGGATTTTGGGTGGCCTAAGATGCCAAAATATAAGACATTGTAATCAGAGTAAATCATGCTTACTCTTCAACTGTAGACTCTCTGAGAAGAATTATTGAGTAGAGCCAAAAAAGAAAAGGAGCATACGCACTCTGCCTCTTCCTCTTCCTCTTCCTCTTCCTCTTCCTCTTCCTCTTCCTCTTCCTCTTCCTCTTCCTCTTCCTCTTCCTCTTCCTCTTCCTCTTCCTCTTCCTCTTCCTCTTCCTCTTCCTCTTCCTCTTCCTCTTCCTCTTCTTCTTCCTCCTCCTCCTCCTCCTCCAAATCAACCTCCATTTCTGATCTAAACATCAAGTTAATCACAAAGGCTTTCACATTGAAATGAGCATACCCGTTGTCATCGTAATCTTCACTTGCAGCATCTGAAGCTTCGTCATCTACAAGGAAGTCATCTTCCTCTTCAATAAATTCAGCAGACTTGACCTCCTTCTTTTTGCGACCTCAAGTGGTGGGTGCCATGATGCAAAACGTAGTTGTCAATGCAACCTAGGTGGTAGAAAGTTCCAGCCTTTCTTATAGGAAAAAAACTTACAGGGTTGCAAGGGTGTGGTGACATAAATGACACAAGCCGTTTCCATGAAATTCAAGAAGGAGAACAGGGATCACAGGGACCTTATTTTCAAATGAGCTAGGCTTTCCAAATTTATGGGGTTGTATAGAAAAAAAAACAGGGACTATGGGGACCTTTTTATTAATGATCAGACAAATGGGCTTTTCATTGAGTTCATCATCTGTCAGCCAAAGTCATTGTGACCTATCTAAAAGAGAAAAGGCTAGATTGAGCTGTCAAAAAAATTCGAGGGATTTGATGAAGTGGTGAGTCGAAAATCATGCAATGCTGGCAAAGTTTCAAACACCTGAACAAACATAGTATATGGTTTCAAAAGAAAATGTCAAAATCTAAATCTAAGACAAGAAGAGCTATCATCGAAGATTAAAGTATCAGTAGGCACCAAGATAAAGGGGATTAAATCAGGTCAAAGACAGGAATGGTGCCAAAAAGACAAGGAAAGGTGGAGCCCATAGGAGTGCACCCATATCCACCTCCAAAAAACCAAACTATGACTTCATGAGGAGCGAGAGTTGGTTCGAATGTTGTAATTTGAGGGAGTGAGGGAATGGGAGGAAGAACCTGGCCATCCTTTGGAATAAATGGGAGTTGTTTAAACTTGCTGAAGGGGAAGAATAAACAGCCTGGGTCAATCATGGTTCGTGAAGTCATAGAACATAAGAAGTCAGAACGACATTGATGATCATGCAGATTAGACAGATGTCAGGTAAAGATGACATTCCTCATCTTGTACTGGGTTCCCAAACAAAGGAACAAGCCTGGTGGAATGGACCAATATGGCAGCGCAATTCCAAAAGCACCAACAAGTGCATGCTTGTCAGTACGACAGAGAGAAAAAGGATTGGTGTAGGCATTTAGAGTGAGAATAGGCAATGGAAAAAGTGACTTTTCTCCGACAAGTGACTGACCAAGTGAGGTGAGGGAGCGGTAGGCAGAAAAAATTCCTTTGGATGTGATAGCATTAGAGTGATGCTATACTGAGAGTGGAAAAGTGCCTCGATAGGATAATTTGTTGTTGTAAAAACTGCAGTGATGTGGAGAGGAAGATCATTTGGTCTACCAAATGCATACCACTCAATGAGTGTAACCAAGGGGTTATGGTTTTTCCCTGTAATGCGACCCAATAGTTGAAGATGTTGGAAGAGTGATGCTGTTAAGGTGTTATGATACTCATAGGGCAGATACAGAGTCATCTCAAGTGGACAAAAGGTGCTTGCCTCTGCACCAATCATTGACAGTGCACATGAACCACCAATAACGGCTCCATAGAAGTTCATGACATGAAACAGCCTGTCCACAGATAGTTGAAACTCGGAGATGAGGTTTCGGGTGCGGTTTTGGATGTAGCCTTTGATGTAATGGAAGTTGTAGTGGCAGGTTGCTGAGAGAGCAAGAAGCAACTCTAAGAGTTGAGTCTGAAGGTTGGATTTTCAACTTTGATGACTGTTGAGATGTCAAATACAATGAAGCAAAGCAAAAGCTATAAAAGTACTTGCTTGTAAACCAATGGAGCACAGAGCTTGATGACTCCATCCTGAATTTTCTGAAGGTCGGAGTCACTTGTGTTTGCAATATGGAGTAAAACCTCCAAAGATAGGTCAGTGACCGAGGGAACATGATCACCAGAGACTGGAGGTGGGGAGTTAACAGCACTGTTGAGTAAAATAGGAGACAAAAGGGCCTCCATATCATTAAAAGTGGCTGAATGATCGTTAAAGAATATGATGATATGAAAGACAGATACACATACACCTGGGAGAGGAGGGCGTCGACCCATCTGTATCTTGTAGTGTGTATGTAAATTAATAGACACACACAATTCCAGATGAATATTTTGCTTACCAGATGCACCAAGAGAGGCGAAGTGTCTTTGCACACTTTGTGAGGATTGCCCTAGTTTTGGTTAATTACAGCTAACTGCATAATCATAGACCACATCTGAAATTTCACTTTGCGCCTTTGTCTGTGCGTAAACATCCGTTTTAGGCCGTGGCTATGTAAACCATGACGCGGATTCGCACACGCTGCCCATTGCTCCAAGTTCTAGCACTGTTTTGGTAGTTGCTCCAAACACTCCAATCCCGCCCCGCACATCATAAGGGTGGAGCGGTTGGAACTTGCCAACTTGGAAGGGTGTTCTACCTAATATGGTTGTTTGTACAAATAAAGAAGAACTTGTATACCGCTTTCCAAAGCAAGGCAACAACTAGTGACAAAACACAAATGACATTGGTGAGTGGTTTTACTCTACATTTCGCAGCAACTAACAAAACCTTTTTTTTTTCTTTCAAGTTCCTATTGTTGATGCACAGGGAAAAAAAATCCTGTTGCCTGGAGGTCTTACGACTCTTGAAAAAGATTATCCAGTTTTCGAAGGTGTCATCCCAGCAAGCTCAGTGGCTCTCGTGGGATACACGGTTGGAAAATATACTGCAAAGGCATTTCCCAATGATGCCTCAGTCAGCTTAAACTTGTTGTGGGTAGCAGTTCTTGCAACTGGTAACGATGTGTAAGCTGGGATACTTTGTTCTTGTCCATCTACCCACTATCTACTAGCTGTTTACCTCGCTTCCATTTTTTTGATGACCCACCATTCCTGATGTTGGAAGAAATGGCTTAATTTATTTTTTGGCATTCAACTGCCTCCACTGCCAGTGATAAATATGCCTTCAAGTGCTTCTTTAATAGAAATTTTGTGTCTTGTCCTTTCTGTTTTGTGTTACAATCTTATATCCATCGAGTGTGCAATTAAAGTGAGCAAGGTAGAAGAGAATTGATCACGTGCGCTCAGATACGGGCATGCCAAAGCTGTGCCAGATGCCCGCTAGGGAAGTACGTCATAATCAGAAAACTCCGAGAATTGAAAACTCACAGCATAAATTGGTTTCCCTTCAACAAGCACAACTCAACAGTATCAATAGCAAGCGGTGGAGACACAGAAACACAGGGGGAGGCACATGGTGAGGTTACCATCTATTTCCTGCATCAACCCGCCCCCAAATACATGACACTGGTTCATTCAAGCTTGTTTCGTGTTTGCTCAACATTTGTAGCCCTACCCATACCATGATGTGCCATCAATTTTCATGGGAAAAAGGCTGATTTCTGCATTAGAGCGCTGAATGAAACCTCAATTCCTGGTGTAATAAACAAGAACTTAGAGAACTCATAATTGGGGGAAGTGAATGTCATGAGAACAGTGGCAATGTGTCTATGAAGCTGAACCTCAAAATAACCTCAAAACATATGTGTGTGTAATTGGACATTGTACATGTTTGGGAGATCAATAAAACCAAACTTGTTGTGACGATGTGACCTTCACAGGAGCCCAGGAGCATGCACTATGGGAGCATTCGAAAAAAAGTCGGAAAATCCCAAAAATGACGTATCTCCCTAGCGGGCATCTTGCACAGCTTTCGCATGCCCGTTGCTGAGCACATGTGATCTATTAAATTGTAATTCAGTCATTTCTGGACCATTTTGAACGTTCTTGGGCTCAAAAAAATTGGACAATCCCAAATATGATGTACTTCCCTAGTGGGCATCTTGCACAGCTTTCACATGCCTGTAACTGAGAGCACGTGATCAGTGAAATTCATCGAAATTAGCTGTAACTCAGTTGTTTCTGGACCATTTTGGTTGTTCTTGGGCTTCTTTTAATTGGAATTTCATTTGTAATATCACAGAAGTAATGTAATTCTCTAGGAGGCATTTTGCACTGCTTTTGCATGCCCATAACTGAGCCCACAGATTCAATTCTCTGGCCTGTGTTGCTTCAAACATTCTTTTTCCCCTAAATGACTTGATATCTTCTGCACCCCATTTCACTAATTTGATTTACATCTATCTATCTATCCCCAATGGTTCAGTCAGGTAGCATAAGAGTACAATAAGAGTACATGCAATGCCTTGATAATTTTTGTGCCATGTGAATTCCAAGTTTTCATGTCTTCTCCAAGTCTTCTCCCAATTAAAGCTCCAACATTTAGTAAGCATTAAGAACAAGCCAACACAGCGTATGCATAGAGAAGTTTATCCAGCATCCAGTTCAATTTCAGTGCAAATATTGTTCATCCACTTATTCATCAATTCAAGAATTTCAATTCTCATGTATTCTACCAGGCCTTCAAGCTCCAATGTCTTGTAAGCATTAAGAAAAACATTACACAGCCTATGCATAGGTAAGCTTGAGCAGCATCTAGTTCAATTTACTGCTGATTACTGGTAATTACCATTTTGAGTGAAAAGATGCGCCATCAATTTTCGTGGGAAAAAGGCTAAATTTCGCGTTAGAGCGCTGAATGAAACCTCGAATCCTGGGGTAATAAACAAGTCTCTTCGTAAACTCAGAGGACTCGTAATAAATTGGACCAAATATTATGACAAAGATGACTTTGGCCAAACACTCAGGACAACAATACTTGATTCCATCATCTGTAGTTTTTAAGAAAATTGAGATTATATGATGGTGTTGTTGGCCATACTATATGTATATGCTATGTAAGTAGGCAGGACTGTCTGGTTGGCTCTACTGAGCAAAATATATTTAACCTATTATTGAAAGCATTCATATTAATGGCTTTTCAGGAATGAAAAAACCCTCAATTGAACTGATTTTCAAAGGTTGGAATTGACTATCTGGCCTCCACTTAAAATTGGAAATCCTAGCAAAAACCTGAATGCCTTTCCTCTTTTCTTTTCTTTTCTATGAGCACTTCATCACAATAGATGTGATATTGTTTGATTTGGATGAATATTGTTCTCATAGAAAGGATTGGGAAAGATATGTATCACTAAATGGCTTTGGATGCATGGGAAAGCTGGGATAAAGCCTATTTAAACTCATTTTCAATAGATGGTTTGGACTATCTGGCCTCAATTTGTAGCCTAATATCTCAGGAAACACCTGGAGAACCACCCCACAAAAAATGGCACCCAATGGACCAGTATTGCAGCCTGCAGAAATAATTTATATAGTTTGGAAAAGGACCCCAGACACCCCGTGACAGCTTTGGTATGATGGTATGAAGTGACATCATGCCATCTGGTATGGTCTAACATGACATGGCATGGTATGGTAATATGGTATTGGTATGGTATGGTAACATGGTATTGGTATGAGTGGGGTATGGTATGGGTTTTCCATTCCATGGTACCATGGTATTGGTATGGAGCTCATATACCACCCCGGAATACCACCAAGGTACCCTAAATCAAGGAATTGATGTACCTCATAGGTACCCAAAAATGGGTGACTGAAGTGGGTGTTCTCTGTAGGCGGGGGGTGTCATTTGCAGGTGTTTTGGGGTCTAGAGAAAAAAAACAACAATGAACAATGAATTGCAGTTTGTCGTTCATCGTTTGGTGCCATGTTGCCTGGATTCTGTGTGAATGAAACAAAGGGCAGGCCAGCAGGGCTCACCTTGTTTCATTGTCACCAGGTGCTGTGTCTTTTGTGGAGCGTGTGTTGGCAGATACAGTGTTTGGCGATGGGTGGTGAGGGAGTGAGGTGGCGGACGGTGTGTGGACATGTCGTCGATGGGTGTCGTTGATGATGGAGTGGTGGTGATGTGCCAGGTTGGTTGAGTTTGCACAAGATTCCCACTCCTGGGATTTGCCAGGCTCCATTCTAGGAAAGCAGGCCAGCGGACGGTATGTATAGCATAAAGTATATACCTATAGCAAAGCCTTCATGGTACAAGTGTTATAGTGTTTGTCTTAATTATTGAAACTACTGATGCAAGGTTCAGGGTTCAATTCTCGATGTTGCGCTTTTTTATATATTATATAATAACAACAATAGTGACAAACTGTGATCCTACTGGACTCCTGGTACTCAGGAATTCCTACTGGACTCCTACTGGACTCCTTGTACTGGAGTCCACTATACCCATTCCTTAGGAATCCACAATTCCTTGTGATTTGGGATCGTTCCAGTAGGACTCTACTAGGACTCCACTAGGACTGGGATCCAAATTTTGTATGGTCATCAGTCAACATGAAATTTGTCCCAGTCCTAGTCCAGTCAAGTAGGATTTCAGGAATCCAGTAGGATTAGGTGGGGGAGAGTAAAGAGCTCCAATGACGAGCGCCCACAGACAACAAGCCAGTACTTTACACTCCCCCATGGATTCCAGATGGACTCCATCTGGAACAGATCTCAACCTACAATTTCATCTAAAATCCACATGGAGTCCATCTGGAGTCCTTGTGGCCTCCATCCGGAATTCATGTGGACTCCAGATGGAGTTCATTGTCAAGGTGAAAGGGTATTGTTTTCAAGTTTAAGGATGTTTTAAAGTGTTACCATGATAGGAATGTTATGAATGTTTCTGAGTGTTACTGTTGTGCTCTGAGTGCATCTTCTGCATTGCACTTTCCCATGTTAGAGGTGTTAGGGTTCAGTCCATTATGTGGTTAGAATTTTGTTGCTTACTTACATCAGCACACACATTTGATACACTACATAAGACACTTGTCACAAGTTAAGTACTTCAGTCATCTTCCTCAACAGCCCAATGTCCCACTTCTACACTTTCCTCCGCCTCTTCTCCTTCATCATCCTCAATTTCAATAATTTGATGAGGCTCTTCCTGCTGTGCTTGTTTTCGGATAACATGCTGAGTATGATAAAAGAGCATAGTGTGCAAGAACCAATCAAAATGTCCAGTTTTCATTCGTTTGAGAATTGACCCAAAACCTCCTAGCCAAGAATTCAATTGCTTGCATGCCTAACATTGAGTCAGCTGAATAACAAATTCACAAAAAATGAGAGGCATACCTGTGTATTGAATGCACATTGAAAGTATGGTTGGTTGTTCTTATCATAAGCCACATTGACCAGATTTGGAGCTGAACCATTTAGTGGACCAGGGTTACACCATTTGCGGCACAGATAGTCCAAGGTGCGATGATTGATGTAATGATAAGAGTCGACAATGAAACGGGTTGTTTTCTTCCATCTATTCCAACTTCCATTTGCAATAGCAGTCCGAAGTACTCAACAAGCTTTATCAATGCAAATGTAGTGTGGTTGATATTCTTCAGTAGGATATATCTTCTCTAACCAATTGAGGATGTTGGTAGGAGACTCTGATTTGTCAAATTTAACCCATGCAATTACAACGTCACATGGTGTTGTAATTGTTTCAACACAATAAAACCTGGCTGCTCCAAAATAATTATGACATGGAATTATAACATCATCATCATCATCATGATGCTGAACAGTTCTGCGAAGTCCAGGTTGCCAGTCATTGCTTTCTCCAGGCCTCTGTAACATTCTTTTTACACCTAGCAAGCTTGCACAACTGTGGTCAAGTTTGTATTTCCTCCATTCTGCCTGGTGAGGACCACATGCCAATTTATTGTCAACTCTTTCTCAAGTACATTCATGAATATGGCATTTGTTTCCATATTCTGTTTCATGTTCTTCACAGAAGGGTCCTCCTCTTGTATTTTTCAAGTCTTTGATACATCCTTCAAATGCACAATGCTTGAGAAATGTTAGCATTCATTTACATTGAGGCCAATTAAACCTATTTACCTGAGGGCCCATCACTATGCCATCCAATATAATCATTGTACAATCATCATCATCATCAACCTCCATTGCATTAGGATTGTTGTTATTGATCTCATTTGCTCTTACTTGTGCTGCTTCCCTTTCTGCAGCTGTTTCTCTGGCTGATACATCTGCATATTCTCCTGTTAAGACAGGTACAGCTGAGTTTTCATCAGCACCTATGACTGCTGCAGGGTCTTCATTAGCCATAAAATCTGCTGTGGCTTTGTATGGTTGACAGCACTTTGAACATGAATGTTCTTTGCCTGGGCCTATTATTCCACCATTTCCTAATTTTGCAAATGCTTGTTTGGCAACTTCCTCAATGGACAACTTTTCAGGCAACTCAAAATTCTCATTATTTACACTTGCAATTGTTCTAATTGATTCCTGAACAAAAGCCTGCCAAATTTGACACCGAGTTACTTGCACTTTGGAATCAGTGACTGATGTACAATCATTCCAAAACTGCATATATACTAAAGCAGAGGCATGAAAGTTATACATTCCACTTAGAGCGGAATGGGTGAAATTTCTATCAACCCACATAGACTGTCCTATCTTTAAAAATCGTCCAGAATTCAAATAGCATTGATACCATGAACCATAGTTGTCTGTGAAACACTCATGGTCTGCATAATATGTGGCATTACATTGCAAACATTTTCCTGCTAGAACAGGAACATCTTCATAAGGAACATTGTCTTTGATTAAAGTGACCAGTGGAACATCTCTTGACCTAGTTAATTGCAAGAGGCACTGAGAAGCACATTGTTGGTCAACACAGATCATGCTGTTTGGACAGATAGTATGAACAGCCTGGATTTCATTATATGAAACTGGTTGTAATCTTCCTTTGAACTTTCCCCAATGATCATATGGTGTTAGATTCAAGAATTTTGCAAATTCATCAAGTTTAGTTGACAACTTGGTAACTTGATGTATTTGTTTGGAATGATATTCTCCACGACGAAATACTGTTGTAATATCATCTTTTAACTGATGCATAACAGCACGGGATAAAGCTCGAATCCAACCAGAGGCCACAGTCTTGTTTTCACCCTCAATTGGGTGTTGTTGACGAGCATGTAAATTGAGCAACTCTGGATTTTCAGTCATTGTGAACAAAAGAAGAAGTACAGTGGCTAGTGATATTTTGGAGCAAACGTCTGTTCCACAAATGCACTGAAATCTCTGAATGGTATATCAGGAAATGGCTGAGTTGTTGGAGATGCAGAGACAAATGGCAGGATGGCCACAATGATAACCAGCTTCATAAATAGTGGCAGAGTAACAAAGGCATGGCTAAAACCCATAGCAAGGGAGAATATAGTGCATATAATGCTGAGAGCAAGATAACCAAGAGTAACCAGACATTTGTCAAAAAAGTTCAGAACAACTGAAACCAAGCTACAAGTACAATAGATCAGAAAATGATTAGTGCTTCAACAAAAAAAAATAGAAAAAAAGCTGCTACTTCAACAACTTCTTGTGAGACTTCTGAGCCTTCTTCTTTCCTTTCCCTGAGTGTTCTTCTTCTTCAGGACTAGATGTTCGCCATGCTTTCAATGTTCCACCTCTTTCCACCCAAGTCTTCAGATCCTCCATTGTAAATTTCGTCTGGTCTCGAACACCCCAAATTCGTTCAGTATCAGAACGACGAACTTGTTCAGGGTCACTGTCCAACCAGTCTCTCATTTCTGGGAATTCTGTCTCCTCATCAGCAATCTTCAAAAATGCGTTGACATAGTTAGCAAGGCCTGAAGAAAGCGCCGTGAATTCTCTGTAATACTTATCCACGTCTCTTTGAGAGAGCATTATCCCTGATTCACTGTGCTTCAAACTCCACTGCCTAAGTCAGTCAGGTGAGTTTACAGGAATTGCATCGTTCAAGCTATAAAGGTCAGCTAGAAAAGTTCTTGCCTTAACCCAATCATCACCAGCCCAAACAGCTGAACCTTCAATAACAATCTGCACTTTTGTGTGACAATAACGAAGTACATAACCAGGGAGCTGTGTATGTGCAACTCACACACTATCTGCATGCTGCTCAAGCGAGTCTAGAAAATCCTCTATGCGCTTTCCTTTGAAATAAGGAGTGGTAGGAGTGCCTGGAGTGGGCATTGGAATCCTGAGTGTTGTAACTACTCGATTCTGAAGAGGATGGCGCCAATGGCAAGTCCTCCATCAAAGATTCAGGCATTGAAATCAAACAAAAGAAGTGAAAGAAAATGGAATGAATGATAGGTAAAACTTAGCGTCAAAGGTTTCATTCTTGACTTTTCTTGGAGAAGAGAAGTGACCCATTTCAAGGGATGCAAAAGGGATGTATACGTCTGATAGCTGAGTAATCAGCGTGCAAACGAGAAAGTCGAACATACCAAAGTGCGAATCAGGAGATTGATTATATGCACTCTAAAACAAAGTCTTCAGTGCGGGGTTGATGATAAAGGACGTACCAAAAGAGTTTTTGATACTTGAAGAGGGAGTAGATTGGAATACCAGTCCCCTGTCTTGGTCACCACTGTGGAAGAATGAAAGTTCAACAGTGAGAAACAGAAACTGGTCGTCTACCCAAATGAGAGAAAGGAAGAAAGGAGTGAGAGTTTCAGGACAAAGGAATGATGGGAAAAGGCACTCAGCATCTAAGTGTGTGAGTACACGTTGATAAGAAGGCTATATGCGTAAAGGATCTGTTAAAGAAAAGATAAAAACAAAGACACAACAAATAAAAGCAAAAGCACAAGTAGACGTAACTGTCCCTATAATACCATAAAAGTACAACATGGACAATTGTCCTATGGGTCATAGGACTACCCAAATGGGCCCAATAGTCATACAGGCAATGGCAACATATGTGGGACCAACATGTATCAGTCATTATGGTGCCAAAGGGAGGCCCAAGGTAATCTCAAGTTAGACTTAATAGTGGGTATAGAGACCATAGACAACAGTAGTCCAAAGTTGGGCTTAATACAAGTATACTTAGCGGCATACCCGAGACATGAAACCCCCGAAAAGTCCGGACAACTAAATAGTCTGAACTAAACGAACCAAGCAAAGCAAAACCTGACTGACATTGAAATTTTTATACAAAGTAGTCTACGGGGAATCATCCGAGGTCTTTACCATCCCCCACGTAATCCATGTGGATTCCAGTGGAGTCCAGTGGATTCCAGTGGCCCATTTGTCAGGCCAAATTGGCTTGCACAATCCCCAGTCCACCGGACTCAAGTCCAGTCCAGTCCAGTCCAGTCCATTGGACTCTCACTGGACTACACACAAGTATACATAGATGTCGCTATAGTACCATAACAATAGAAATTGACAATTGTCCCAATAAGTCATAGGGCTACCCCAATGGGCCCAATACACATGGACACTATGGATCCATACCTGGGACCAATGGATGTTTACAGCATATGGTATTAATGTGTGGCCCAATGCATATTCTGCAGATGTGGTTATTGCCATAATCAATGGTACCATAGGTACCCAAAGTATAATCTACAGAATGGCCAAATGTTGGGCCACATGCGTTCAAGAGATCACCCGAAGCATTGACATGCTGACTGCAAGTGCTCCGAAAATGTGACTGAAAAAATGTCCGGATTTGTGGTTGCCATGTTGGATGTCACTGCCCCAAATATGTGGCTGAAGAAAGGTCCGGATTTGTGATTAACTTAGTTAATGGCACTGCTCCGAAAATGCGGCCGAAAAAAACATCCGGATTTGTATTTAAGATGCTGAATGTCATTGCCCCAAAAATGCGGCCGAAAAAATGTCCAGAGTTGTAGTTGACTGGGTAAATGTCACTGCTCCAAAAATGCGGCCGAAAAAACATCCGGATTTGTATTTAAGATGCTGAATGTCATTGCCCCGAAAATGCGACCGAAAAATTGTCCGGAGTTGTAGTTGACTGGGTAAATGTCACTGCTCCAAAAATGCGGCCGAAAAACATCCGGATTTGTATTAGTACAACACTGTCCGAAATTTCAGATGTAATTTTGACAGGCGCCAGACAACCCCTGTGGAATGCTTCAATGCCCGAAATTTAGAACTTCAAGCACCCGAAAATGCGGCCGAAAAAACATCCAGATCCATATTTAACATGCTGAATGTCATTGCACCGAAAATGCGGCCGAAAAAATGTCCGGATTTGTGATTAACTTGGTGAACGTCACTGCTCCGAAAATGTGGCCAGAAAGACATCCGGATTTGTATTAGTGCACCAATGTCCGAAGTTTCGGATGTAATTTTGACACAGACCAGACAGCCCCCCCATGGATTGCTCTGAAGTCCGAAATTTTTTAAGTTATTTCCATCCAGATATAATGATCCCCGTAGACTGCACCAATGTCCGAAATTTTGGATGTAATTTTGACAGGGGCCAGACAACGCCCACGGAATGCTCCAATATCTGAAATTTATACTTCAAGTACCCGAAAATGCGGTCAAAAAAACATCCGGATTTGTATTTAACATGCTGAATGTAATTACCCCAAAAATGTGGCTGAAAAAATGTCCGGAGTTGTAGTTGACTTGGTCAATGTCACTGCTCCGAAAATGCGGCCAAAAAAACATCCGGATTTGTATTAGTGCGATTTGTATTAGTGCAGCAATGTCCGAAGTTTTGGATGTAATTTTGACATGGACCAGACAAGCCCCACGCGGAATGCTCTGGAGTCCGAAATTTTGTGGGTCATTTCCATTCAGATGTATTAATCTCTGTAGAGTGCACAAATGTCCGAAATTTCAGATGTAATTTTGACAGGGGCCAGACAACCCCCATGGAATGCTCCAATGTCCGAAATTTAGTACTTCAAGTACTCGAAAATGCGGCCGAAAAATGTCCGGATTTGTGATTAACTTGGTGAACGTCACTAGTGCACCAATGTCCGAAGTTTCAGATGTAAATTTGACATGGACCAGACAACCCCCCGCAGAATGCTCTGAAGTCCGAAATTTTTTAAGTTACTTCCATCCGGATATAATGATCCCCATAGATTGCACCAATGTCCGAAATTTTGGATGTAATTTTGACAGGGGCCAGACAACCCCCATGGAATGCTCCAATGTCTGAAATTTATACTTCCAGTACCCGAAAATGCGGTCACAAAAACATCCGGATTTGTATTTAACATGCTGAATGTCATTACCCCGAAAATGTGGCTGAAAAAATGTCCGGAGTTGTAGTTGACTTGGTCAATGTCACTGCTCCAAAAATGCGGCCGAAAAAACATCTGGATTTGTATTTAACATGCTGAATGTCATTGCCCTGAAAATGCGGCCGAAAGAATGTCCGGATTTGTGATTAACTTGGTGAACATCACTGATCCGAAAATGTGGCCGAAAAAACATCCGGGTTTGTATTAGTGCAACAATGTCCGAAGTTTCAGATGTAATTTTGACATGGACCAGACAACCCCCCGCGGAATGCTCTGAAGTCCGAAATTTTTTAAGTTACTTCCATCCAGATATAATGATCCCCATAGACTGCACCAATGTCCGAAATTTCGGATGTAATTTTGACAAGGCCAGACAACCCCCATAGAATGCTCCAATGTCCGAAATTTAGTACTTCAAGTACCCGAAAATGCGGCCAAAAAAACATCCAGATCTGTATTTCACATGCTGAATGTCATTGCCCCGAAAATACGGCCGAAAAAATGTCCGGATTTGTGATTAACTTGGTGAATGTCACTGATCCGAAAATACGGCCGAAAAAACATCCGAATTTGTATTAGTGCAACAATGGCCAAAATTTCGGATGTAATTTTGACATGGACCAGACAACCCCCCATGGAATATGTTGATGTCCGAAATTCTAGACTACACAACTTTGTAGTGTCTGCTTTTTAGACTACACAATTTTGTAATGACCAGTTGAACTCAGGCAGAACTCTCTCAATTCTTAACCGATTTGGATGTTCTTGGGCTCGTTTTGACAGGTAAACCCGTGGGGTTGTGGGTACAGGTACTCTACAGGTCATGTGTCGGCCACTTGTCCGATATTTATAGGTTTTTTAGTGTCCTTGATCATGAATGAGTATATGGGTTCATGGGTCTATGGTTGAAGGAGTGAAAAGGGTGGACATTTTGCAATTACTGGATCATTGGTTTACTATGTATAAGTATATATATGTTCATGGAGATATGGTTCAAGGAGTGAGAATGACATAGTTCAATATTAAAACTAAGTGAAATACTGGAATGTCAATTTGTCCATCCTTTTCACTCCTTCAATGATAGTCCCATGAACCTATGTACTTATTCATAGTGAAGGACACTAAAAATTATATGTCAGAAAAGTGGACTACAAACTTTCAAGTTTGGGAGACCAGACATCAATGAATAAGTACATATGTTCATGGGGATGTATGGTTGAAGAGGTGACACAGACAGTGAAAGCAATAGCAAAATGCCCACTGTT